GTGCAGAATGCTCCGGCACACCAGTAGTGTCAGAGGCACTTATGGGAGTAAGAGCTGGCACTGTGAGAAACAGGCTCTTTTAAACTTGTATTTCAGTGAAAAGATCAAATGTGCTTATAATCATTGCCATCATGCTAGCTGCTAACAGACTGATCCTTTGCTCCATGTAACATCCAGCTCCCCCAATACACATGAGAGCTGCCATTGGCCAGGTCAGAGAGGATCTTTGCAACTGCACAGTGCTCTCTCTAACCCTATGCATTTAATGTTGGCACTGATGAGTGATGCCTGGAGACTTTCCAGCCACAGGTTAGATGGTGACAGGAGGCCCCAGGGGTAGGGTAGCTGCTGTGAGTAATCAGACAGGCACCTGGTACATACTGAAATATTCAGAAATAGGCAGCAGAAACTTTCCTGCAGGGTCTGAGGGAATATGTACATCTAACTCAGATGCTAGAATATGAAAAGGGCACTGTTTTCCTCACTAACTCACAAAATAAAATGAAAAATGGGACCATGAGGGCCTCTGACATCATTATATGTCACTCAGCCACAACTGAGTTGAGCCAGGGAGATCCATTAGTGGAACTGGTGGTGTCTGGGTATAGGGCTGCAGGAGGTGGGAACTGGCAGCTTTTCTTCTCCGTGTGTAACTTGACCTTCCCTCAGTGTGTCCCCTTCAAGGCCAACCTTGACCAGGGCTCAGCAAGTCTGTGTGTGCTAACTTCCAGCAGAAGGGATGCCTGCTTTATCTTGGTGCTGGGAGAAGGAAAAGCTACTGCAAAGTTGAGAGTTGTTTTCCCTCTTAAAATGGTAATGAGATGTTGGGTGACAGTGACCCAAGGTTGCCAGGCTGTAGTTGTTGCAGTTGTTGTTGTATTATGACTTAGTCTAATGCATCAACAAATGTAGTCTTTTGTTTTGTCCTGCCTCAGAAAAAGGGCTTCTCATCTTCCAGCGATAGACATCTTGGCTCTGACAGAAATTCAAGGTCTTCTACTTTGCGCCCTCAGCCCCCTTAGGCCAGAAAAAGTGCTGATGGTGGAAAAGAAGGTCTAATGAATACCAGTAATATATGCATTAAATTCTCATCACACTGTGTGTAACAGGATATGCTAGTAACCTCTTATAAACTACCTGCAGTAGTTTATATCTCCACTAATGTGGTCCTGAAGCCAGAAGCCCTTTTCAGTACATTGAGAATGGGATAATGAGAAATAAAAACATTCTGCATAGAAGTAGGGTGTAGACTTGTCAGCAACCAGTCAGGAGGAAAAGCAGATCTAGTTTGTTAGGCATACATTACAGTGTGTAGCTAACAGTGACAGCAGATACGTGAATTTCTCTGCCTTTCTTGTGGAGATACGGACTCAGAATCCACTGGGATGGAAGAATAACAATTCCCTTTACAAAATCATACTAGATTGAAATAGCAGTGACCCCCAGCATAGGGAAAAAAACAAAAAGCATTGTTCATTCTTACCATGACTTTTGCTGGGCAGAAATTAGTTCACTGAAGCTTGCTCATTTAGGAGAGATAAATGAGGAATGCTTTATTATACTTTTTTCTGCCTCCTAGCCTGATGAAATGAGCTGTCCAAGGACTCTCATTCCCTGTCTTCAGCGAGGGAAGCCTAAGGGGCATTTAATGACATGCAGAAGCTGAAGGGAGAGTCATTAGCACTCCAGTGTATAGGTAACTCTCTTACAAGTTAAGATTAAAAGCTTTGATGAAAGTGACCTTCACAATTCATGTGCCCTCTGCTTTCCTCCATGCTTGAAGCTCTAATGATCACTTTTTTCTGCTTTGTCACTGTAGCACTTATTTTGTGAAATATTTCCGTAGCTCAGCAGTAATTTGGATCCAGGGTGGATCTGGCTTGCAGATATTATGTCTGCAAGCCTTAGGTGGGTGCAAAACAAAGGTTGGTGTAAAGGGTCAGATCTTCTCTTTGTAGAGAACTGAACAAAACCTGGAAACATTGCTAGATACAGGTTTTTAATATTTTAATTAATACTTGATTATAACTTTAAGAAAGGATAAAATTATCATCAAATATTTCTTTGAGTATGCCATGCTGTCCTCTTTGAGCAGGGCAGAAATTTGCTGTAGAGCACAAGAAAGCGTGTTTGGAATGGGAAGAGTATGTAGAACCAGGGGCTTGTAATCCTGTGGGCTCTTGGGTAGCGGACTGAAAATTCTGGGCAGGCTGTAGGAGGATGCCGTGTGTATTCATGTCTGGATCAGATGAGAGGATGAGAGAGAACGGAGGTGTGGCATTTGAGTAGAAAGGGAAGGAGAAAAGAAACATCCAACAATTTGAAATAAGGAGAGCAGTAAGTGCCACTAGTGTAGTCAGGCTAGAAGACAAGAGTAAGAAGGAGCCTTTTGGGAAGGAGTTATCTCTAGGGTAGCTTTGTTTATTTTTTTATTTAAAAATGCAGTAGGTATTTGTAATTGTAACTGAAACTGAAATTAATGGCCCCATTTGAGACACAAATGCCTGCTTGATTGATTGAAATGGGAAATAGTTAAGGTAAAAACAATATATCTTTCTTTTAAGATAATTAAAGTTTTATTTTGCTTGAAATTGAACTTTTCTTGTAGTGTTAATGACATAAATGATGCTGGGGTTCCTTTAGCTTACAGTGAGCAAAAGAGTAAAAAGTTTATTTTCCAGCATGGAGGTAATTATTTTAGCTAATTTTTCATTCTGAACTTTTAATTCAAATAGAAAAAGAGAAAAAAACAGTTTTACCAAATGTTATTCTTATGATTCTTGAAGCCCTAAAGTGTTCCTGGAGACATGGGGTACTCATAGCACATTTCAGAGCAGTTTCCTCCTAATATGTATGGAAAAATCTTTTTCTGATGTCAGCTACAAGTACATACAGATGAAGCATGTGGTTGGTAACACAGAGGGATTTTCATTGTCTTGCAAAAACAGTTCAGTCTGGCTGACTTTCCTGGATGAAGTCTAAGACTCAGGCACCAAGCAATAGGATAAGAGGCAATAGGAAGAAACTGATGCACAGAAAGTTCCACCCGAACATGCAGAAAAGTGGTTTTAGTGTGTGGGTGACTGAGTGCTGGAGCACGTTGTCCAGAGAGGTTGTGGAGTCTCCCCCACTGGAGATATTCAAGATCCTGGATGTAATCCTGTGCCATGTGCTGTAGGATGAACCTGCTTGAGCAGGGAGGTTGGGCCAGATGATCCACTGTTGGTTCCTCTTGGCCTGACCCATTCTGAGATGTTGTGTCCATGCTTTGCAGGTGACTGAACTGCCCTGTCATGCCATAGGTCTGATCTTGGAGTGCTGCAGCCTTTTAGGTCTGGGTTAATAACAAGTGATGCTGTCAGGCTCCTCTCAACAAAATGAAATGCTTTTTGTCCACTCTTTAGCAGAGCAGTTACCTCTCCAGGTATCCTTAGACTGAAAAAAAGCCCAATGCTTTGATCAGCAAACAACTTTGCATAAGGCTCTGGCAAAAGGGAGAAGTGGTATTAATTTTCGTGGTGATTCATTTGTGGGGAAAGTATCATTATTCTATCACAAATTAACTGTGTAGGTACCCAAAGCTCATGTAATATATTGAAAATGTCAGGATATTTTCATCTTTGTGATTTCATTCCCGCTGAGAATTTGATCAGGACGTGTTAAATTAAAAGTAATATATAAACAAGGTGTGAACAGTTCAGTTAAGTGGTAACCTGAGGTTAAGAACACAGTGATCAAATTCAGTGCCTGAAGTTGGCAGGGAAATTGTCTTACCACCTTGGGAAGGCTTGAAATTAAACTTGTTTTGAAATGTAGGTGTTAAATCTGTGAAAAAAAAAACAACAACTCACTTGCATATGTAAATGAAGTGGCTTCCAAGAGATGAAGAGAGCATGTTGAGCTCTGGGCTGCCTTTAGGAGAGAGAGGGACCACGCTCCCACGATGTAACCCTTCTGCTGTGGTTCTGTTTTGTAGCATCTGTAAGGAGGAAATCTTTTGGTAAAATCAGGGCTGTGCTCCCTGTCTGGCTGTTCTCAGCCAGCTGTCAACAACAGAGGGTGGGGCTGTGCTGTTGACTGCTTGAGCTAACCGAGACAACGGCTTTGGGGTTATTTTTGTTGGGCTTCTGAGACCTTATTAACTTGAAAGGAGTTTTTGGAGATACTGAATTTCTGCATTGCGCTTATGTTCAGTTTTTTGTTCTCCCTAGCATTGCCTTCAAGTAAATGCATGGCAAGTAGCCTTAAAAGGAACAAAAATTCCTTCCCATTTCAGGGTAAGCAGGAGGAGGATTAAGCTCCTTCCCCCAGTAATTGGATCCTCTGATTGCCATGGCTTTTGAAGATGATCGTGTATCTTTCTGTGTGTGATAGATTATGTGTGTGCCTGAAAGGTATCTTGGCTTTAAAAATCCACTGAGTTTTCCCCTATAATAGTTTTACTTTTGGTTATTTACTTTGTGTGCTGACCATGGGACATGTAGCATTCTAGCCAAAAAAAAACGAGGCAGGGGAAGTTCTCCTGCAGCTGTTCCACCTTAAGACTCTTCTGAAGACATAGAAGGTTAGTGACTGTCTGGGACCCTTTGGAAAATGAAAGCTCTCCCAAGGTTACAGTATTGAAGATTCAAATTAATGTGGGTGCAGAAGGGAAAGTGGACTGGATGAGAACCTCCTTAAACTGGTTGAAGTGCAGTCCAGTTCATCCGTGGAGCAAACACCACCTTTCTATCACTCCTGGTCAGCAAAAAAATCACAGTTGCAGTTGGATTGTTTGTATTAACCATTGTCTTCAAAGCTAGTCTATGTTATCTCATGCTTTCTAATCTCAGGGTTTAAATTTGGGCAAGTAGCAGTGTCTCTACCTCTGTGTTTGTCCAGTAATACACATGGTATATTTGACACCCATTCTACCAGCAGGGCTCCAAAGCACTAATGGTATATAAGTGTTAAAGTCACCATTTTGCATAAACCACTAAGTATTTCATTTCTTTTGGCAGATTGAAGACATTGTTACAAGAATGCAAGATGACAAAACAGGTGGAGTTCCCATCCGCACTGTCAAGAGCTTTCTGTCCAAAATCCCCAGCGTGGTCACTGGTAAGAACTGCAATTGGTGGAGAAAAGAATGTGAGCTGGTACTTGCTGTCTCTAAGCAAACATACTGAAGCCACAAAAAGGAAGAGATGTGAGGAAAAAAAGCCCCCCTCTGCCTAATTTTTCTATATGTTGTTCTGTTACAGGCTGAAGTAAGATTCTTTACACCTGAACAAAGATTCCTTAGTTCTGTTTTAGTAAACAAGCATTTCTATTTCTTTGGGGTGAGTTATTAAAAAAAGTTATGTATCAAAGTATCACCAGTCAGAGTTATTCCCTGTGACAGCGGTAGGATAATCTTAGGTAAGAGGTCAGGAAAGAAAATTGAAGTTGTTTCCTTGCTCATAGCCAAATACTCTTACTAGGCTTTGATCGCAGGTAGAGGAATGTGAAATACCTTTTATGCATGTGTGCTGCTTTGTTAAAGCTCCGTGTACAAAAGTGTGGATGGTGCAAAACGGGGAGTCAGAGTACAAAACCATCCCTCCACATACTTCCAGACAGAGTATTTTCCAATGCAACGAAGACCTCTGCCATTGATAGATGATGAGTTTATTCAGGGTGATGTAAATTGTACGGAGGATTTGAACTTGGGTTTCTGGTACCTGTTTTCACTGACTCAGTAGTAGTGCTCCTGAAGGTTCCTGGGGAAAATAACCATTTATCTGATTTGAAAACTCACTCCCATAAGCTCAAGTCTGCAATACACAGACTGGATGTCTTAAGATTCACTCAGTTAAAAGAGGTTTCTGATATTCTGGTTAAAATTCATAGCTTTAAAAAGGTAATCAATCTAGTCACCAAGCCACTGCTTGTTACTCAAAAGGAAATAGGAGAACTCACAGGAGTTTTAAACCATGGTCAGCAGTTCTCTGGTATGATGGAAACTGCTCCCAGTTCTGGAACAGTAACTGCAATTGCATTGTCTTGAAATGGCTGGTTTTCACAATGCAGAGTATTGTGAAAAGATGAAGATAAAATAAGAACAAAACCTCTCTCCAAAGCCCATAGAAATTATTATATTTCAAGGGGAACAAGCTCGGTACCATTCCCTTCAGGTGATTTGAAAGCAGCTCCCATGGACAATTCATGAAGCCTCTGAATTTGAAAAGTATGGGAAAATAACAGGCCAGTGGAGAGCCCAAAGTTTTCTCCATTTGTTATTTTTCCTTTCAGATGCATAGACCTCCCTAGACCAAAACCAAGAGCAAAGTATGTATGCTATCAGTGTTGACTGTAATAGATAGGTGAAGAGGCAGGAGCACCTACATTTGAATGGAAGCTGAGGGCACTGGGTTTGTTCAGGCTGGGGAAGGAAAAGCAGAAGGGAATGAGAGGCTACAAAGACAGGGTCAGATCCTTTCTCAGGAGTGCATGTTGGAAGTATCAAAGACAATCTGCACAAGTTGTAGGGGAAGAAATCCCAACTAGATTTACATATAGGAAGAAAGTTGTTTATGGTCAGGCAAGTGAGCATGGGCCCAATGTCCCAGAGGAGCTGTGGAACCAGTGTTTTGCAGCTGTTCAGAAACTTCTGGGCCCAGCTGAACTGAGCAGTCTGACCTAACTGTTCATTTGGCCTTGCTTTGTGTGAAGGTTGGATGAGACAACTTTCAGAGAATCCTTCCAACCTGAATTACTCTTACGGTCAGTGGATACTCAGTTTTAGTGCTTGTCTAATTCCACACAATGTAATGAACACAGGAGAAGAACTTGTATTTTCAAAAACTTTGTACTTCCTCTGGGGAAGAGCTCGATTCTAGACCATGGTGTTCTCACACGCTTTATTTCTACCTGAAAAATGGAACAGTAGCACTGAGATGTGATTTACTTGGCAGGCTCACAGTGACTGTGATTAACAGGGATTTATTTTTGCTTGACACTTCTATTGTAATTGCTTCTCACAGGAGAAATATAAAATCTTAAAGGAAAAGAAATATTACAGGAGTGCCTCAGTGCTCCAAACAGGCAGCTCTGTTTATAGTACAGTGAAGTGGGTGTTTGATTTAAAGTTTGAATACCAGGGAGAGAACCACTCCTCTGTTTTGCTTTCATCTGTCCTGATGCCTTAGGTGTGAATGAGGTATTGGGTAACACAAGGAGAAAAAGCCTCAGGGAGTTATCAGTAATGGTCCTCTCTTGACAACAGAAATCTGGGAAAAAGGATGAAAAAACTTTTTTTGAATGTAGGATGAGTTTGTGGAGGTATGCTGTGCCAAGGACACATTTCAGTCTGCTCTGGAAGTAGATTTTCCTCTCCCCTTCCCAGTCTTTGGCTTGCAGTAGGTCAGTCAAAGGAGAGCATTTCACACCATTATCTTCTTGGTTAGGTCTTCACTTTTATAGGCAAGCCACAGAGAATGAAAGTAGGATGGGACCAGTCTGTGTGGCTCCTGTGTGCATGTGTCAGACATCGTCCAATGTTCAGTTCAGAGTATGGAATATAGAAAAAAATGCCTGAGGGCAGATTTTGAGTAGTGCTGTGATCCGTGCCCAGAATGGGTTGTCAGCCAATGCACATAATGGCAGCTGCTGCAATAAATGGAGTCGCACGTTTCTCTTCTAGTGAGAAAAGATTTTCTCAGTAAAGCTTTTGTTTCTGTAGATGAATTGTTAATTCTGTTTTCACAGTTATCAGACTGTTGTAGGAACATCTCATTATGCTAACCAGCAACAAAACTGGCTTTCTTATCTTTTTTTCGATTTTCATATAATTGCATCTTAAAAGTAACCTCATTTTTGGCAGGAGGACCAAACGCATACACTTTTTTCTTCCACTGGTTCAGACTTGGTCTTATACAACATTGCCAAAACAAGTCAGAAGGAAGTCAGTGCTGCAACAGCAGAGCTTTCCAGTACAAAAAGCCTCCTTCACGCTTCCCAGTTTGCCACACATTCCCAATCTTGTTGCAGATTCTCCTGCTTTGTGTCCTGTCTGATCCTGTGTATCAGCGTCTTTGCTACCATAATCCAAGGGAGACATGCAGTCTAAAACCTTTGCACAAGTCTGCCCTCCTTCCAAGAGGTTTTGATACAGCTTCATTCTGATCCATACCCCTTCACTTGAAGCATGGCTGTCCCCACAGCTCCATTTGGAATGATACCTTGTCCCAGCAGCAGTCCCGTGGCTGGTCCCTTGCTCCTGCACTGCTCCTGAGCTTCACCAGCACTCACTCGTCTGCCTGCTCTGCTCCCAGCGCTGCCTCCGTCGCTGTGGGTGGATTGATGAGTTATGTCCTGGCCTTCCTGGCTTGGATTGAGTGCTGCCATGCAAGCTTAGTGCACACAGCCCTGCCAGTGCACTTCACTCCTGTCCTGCCATATCTGTCTTACATAAGCCCTGGACCTCTCTCAGCAGAAAGTGCCAGTTTCACTGAAATGTGCCAGATGGCCTGTCGCTACTAGAGACTCATGAGCTAAGCCAAGTTTAAACTGCTGGGTGTCTCTGTCTGAAGAAGCCAGCATGTGTCTTGGCAAGTGCCCATGAAGTTGTCCCAGAACACATCAGAATGTCACTTACTCAAAGAAAATGCATTTGGCTGGAGTATGGAAATCCCATGGTGTTGTGAAAGAGAGACTTTATTATTGAAAATGTTCCCTGATGATGTAGTTCAAAACAGTCAAGTTCTGCTGGAGAACTTTATACACCCATTGAGAAATTGGCTCCCTTGAGGCCAGTCTGAGTGTGCTTGTTGCCTTTTCCCTTCAGAGGAGGTCAAGCACATCTCTCATCCAGATATAGCAGTCACAGGCCCAAGGGAGAAATAAGTTCCTCATGTCCAGAGTTTGAAAGGCCCCTGTTCAGGTGAACTGTGCAAAAAAAAAAGGTTGTTGTGGCATGGGGAACAGGCTTAGGACTGGCAATGGTGGCAAGAGCCAGCATCCATCACCTAGCAGGGCCTGGAGAGCAGACTGCAAGGCTGAGTGCTTGGCCAGAACATTTGTTTTCTTAATGCTTCTTTTCAGGGATAGAACTTGCCTTAGTGCCTTATGGAAACTACAGTCATTGGGACCAGAGCCTCCATGAGCTGCCTACCAATAGATTTGGCTTCCCTAGGCTGTCTGTCCAGCTGCTTGCACCACCTTAACACAGGGTCAGCTGTGTTAGGGTCCTTTCACTGCAGGACTGAGTCTGATACAGATTTCCCTCAGCATTTGGGTAATTTTGTTCTAGATATTCTGTCTTTCCTCTGTAGTTCTGCTTTGAAAAATAGGACACTTGAAAAGTGGTACTGACTCTGTTTCAGACAGTTAATAGATGTAGATTGTCCCAAATCTAAACCAAGTTCAATCTTCTGCTCAGCAGGAATTAGTCTATTTAGTTAAAAAGAGCAAAAAAAGGCCACTAACAGATAAACAAAAAAAAATTTCCAAAATTTAAATCAATATCCAAACTAATACTGGGTGTTTACAGATTTGTGAAGGATATAAAGAACATGCTCATGGGTTAAAATTGACATATGTTTATATGTGCATACTGTATAATTTTTGATGGTTTTCCACATTTCTAAAGAGCAGATGCTGCACAGTAAATTCAACAGTTTAGCAATTGCTTGGTGGAAACTGGCTTGCCAAATACAAGTTGGTTGGGCATACAAATCCATTTATTTCTCATAAAAAATCAATTGTTCTGAGCAAGTTGCATTTAAACTAATTCAAGTGAAGACTAGGCTTCTTCATAACAACTTACATTTCCTTCTTTAATGCATCTCTTCAAATTGCACCCAGTGGAAATGTAATCCCTCCATCCCTCAATAAGAAGTCTAGTATTTCAAAGCTGACCTGAATCACACAGCATTAGACATGTCAGCAATTACATGAGTAGTACATGTCTTGCAATTAGTTTTTTTCCTGTAGCTTTCTCTTAAGCTCTCTACTTGCATGCCAGGAGACAAATTAACCCAGTTAAGGAGTCAGACTCTTATGCTGTTGTTCGTCCTCAGCTCCCTCCTCCCCTCCCTTTTTCTCCTTAACTGCATCCAGCTTCCTACCTTTCAAATGGT